CAATTGCTGTATAACACAGTACCCCAAACTTAGTAGGCTAAAACAACACACATTTACCATCTCACCATTTTGTGGATAACGAGCCTGAGTATGGGTTGCCTGGGTCCTGTGACCAGGGGTTTCTCAAGGCTACATTCTAGGTGTTGGCCAGGCTGCCTTCTGACTGGGCAAGTATATACTTTAAAGCTCATTCAGTTGTTGGCAGAATTCAATTTTCAGCAGCTATATGACTGAAGACCACAACTCCTTGAGGACTTTTGGTTCAAAGCCACTCTCAGGTCCTAGAAGCTGCCCATATTTCTTTGCCATGAGGACTTCCTCAACATGGCTGCTCATTTCATCACGCCTGTAAGGAGAGTCTCTCTTTGTAGGGAGGGCCCAGCTCCTCTTTTAAGGGCTTTCACCTGATATTCTTAAAGTCACACCTACCCAGGATAATCTCCCTTTTGATTAACTCAACATCCCTGAGATTTGAGGTCCTAACATATGAAAATTCTCTTTACCTTTGTCATATTCTAATGGCTAGAAGCAAGACAAAGTCCTACACACAGACAAATGGGAGGATATTATAGGAAGCAGGATACCAGGAGGTGAGAATGATGGGGTTACCCTGGGGTCTGTCTGTTACAAGTACCTTTAGTCCAAAGACCACTAACTGTGTCCAGTTCCAGAAGTCGCAACCCTTGGCCCCAGCTTGGATCTCTGCTTTGCATTTCTGTCCTATTTCTAGTTCAAGAGGATGTTTACCTTGTTTTTTAATTCTTCTATGTCTAATTGGTATGTTTTTCCCTTCTGTATTATATCAGTCATCAATTTTTGTATGAAACAGAGGTTATGTGAAAGTATAAATTTAGAAAGCTATTTTACTCTATCCATGTTTTGTAAAAATTTCTACTTGATCAGGGTTAGAACAGGTTTCTGAAGCTCTAGATGTGTTTTAATGGTAAGGAAGTATTTAACCAAATTTTTTTGGGAAGAAGGTCTGGTAGACAGGATTATTTATGGTATGAAAGTACTACCATAATTGAAATGAAAGTACCATAATTGAAATAAAAGTACCATAATTACGAAAGATAAGTAATTGGTAAATAAAACTAGGCTCATCTACCCATCACATTAAAAAAAACTAAAGTAGTTTGTGTCTGTTTTACAGTAAGAACCTCAACTTCTAATGATACCCTGGAAAGACCCATGCAATCTTGATATCCTCACATTATAGAAATATGCTGTCGCTGAAGTAGTTTTTTTTCTACCTGGACTGCCCTTTTTATGGGATGTTCCTTCAGACAGTTTATTTTACAACATAGTTTTTTGCTACACAAAAGTAAGGGATACAATGAATGAAAAACAAGGCAAGAGTAGAGATACTCGAAACAGGATTCCAAATATAAAGTAAAATACACACAGGTAACATGGTAAGTCTGAACACTAGGGCCAAAGTCCTTGGTTTTATTGTTTTTCATTGACATAGAAATCTACTTTCTCTATAGACCTTGGGACGGTCAGGCTTAGCGTTGACACTTATACACAAGCATATGCCTAACAGTTTTATTTGGGAGCCAAAGTCTGAGAAAGTGACTATTGAAGCACTATAATCTCAAGAGAACCACATGAAATGAGTCACGAATAATTGCTTATACCAATCTGCCAAGGCAAGTCCCTTATATCTTTTCTGAAAACAATACAGCTAGTTTTTTATGTTAAGAGGCAGAGGATATAATCCTAAAAAAATAATAATGGATTCTGGGGGTATTTAAGCTTCCTAATAAATGCAAGTTGATTCTGCAGGTTAATTCATGTTTACTTTGGGAAGCACACAGACCATGATACCAGGATGATGGAATATGGGTTAGGAAATTTGATATTTTAGAATTATGTATGATGGATCTGAGAGCTGCTATAGACAAGTGATAATAAAAAGATATGAATGAAGATTAGCATCTATAAAAGTATAAAGCGGATATGGTAAACATGACCACATTCACCCAGTTCTGGAATATTAGAACTGGTTGGTATTGCATGGAGCTTGCAATGTATTTAGGTCAAATAAATTACGTGCTATAATTGCAATATATTATAAAACTCTTTAGTTCCGGGAGGCATTGCAGCCTAAATATAGAAAGGCTGTCATAGGTAACACCTGCAAAATGGGTGGGAAAGGAAGCTGTTGTGGACACAGCCTTACCTTTGATGTCATGCAGCACCACCTTTCTCTCCTTTAAAATCTTGGCTGGATCACTGAAACTCAATGTAGGGCTATATAAGAATCCAGTATGGCAAAGTTTCCAGTTCTGAAAGGCCAAAGGCCAAAAAATTTGCTACATCCATAAGTTTTCTACAACTAACTCTGAACAGGGTTCATCATGAAGTTTTGGAAATTAATTTATAAGATTTAGCTTACAGGGTACTAGATTAGATAGCAAAATTTCATTGATGCCATTTTCTAAGCATGCAAATAAATATTGCTTTGGAAGGACATATAGAATAAGCTAATGATGTCTACTATCATGTAATCAAAATTACTAAAAGTATAAGCTTTTTGGCTTGCCTTTTATATGAGATAGTCTTTTAGACAATTAAAAAAAATATTTTGATGAGAATCTGGAAGTTGTCAGGTGATCTAGACATCTCCGTGATTTCTACAGTTCCAGAAATCCCTCTTTGTTCCTCTGAGCCTTCCTCTGTTACAATTTGAGCCATAGGTTAAGATATTCTAACATAGTCTATAATGCATAATAAAATCAAATTATGATGAAAATTAAAAAAAATATTTTGCACACATTAAAATTATGGAAAATGGAAGAAATTAATTTGCACATACAAAAACATGGAGTATGGCACATAAGTATAGAGCGTTTAATTGAAACTGAAAGCCGGGTGTTTGGAAGGTAATAAGAGACGGACAAAAAGGAAAAAGTGAAGAAGTGATGGTGTGCCTGTTTTTATCTTACGGGCTTTGTGCATGATCTTCATTCTCTGTGCTCTCAGGTTTAGTGTTCCTACAAATACAGCAAGTCAGAGTCCACAGGAAACAGGAATTAAAATAATGGCAATAATTTTAAATTGGATATATGGAAAATTACATCCCTGTTATCACAAAGCATCTTTGTACTGTGCTTGCTTATTGAGCAGTTGTTCTGGGGTAAAAGAGGAGACACAGCACAGGGACATAATCCACACACAATCTAGTAATGCATTTTCTTTCCAAAATTCTGGCAAAATTCTCACCTGATGTTCAGCTTATATGCTTTTATTAAGCAAAGGAATGTGACACAAATTTTAGAAAGTTTTTCATAAATAAAAGTTATAGTTGTTGCTTAATTTCTAAAGAGTTTTTTTTTTTTTTTCCAAGAGTTTACATGTGTAAGATCAAAACAAAGGCTTGCAATTGCTTGAACAATAGCTTGAAGCTTGACACTTGAGGGAACAGAGCTTTTAAAGTAATGCTTAAGTTCTCTTAATCAGATCATTATCTGTTATGTCTACTGTTTATTATTTTTAGGTTCTTAAAATGCAAGTTAAATAAAAAGCAAATATAGAGGACGGTAATCTCCTTAGGCCAGGTACAAAGACTGAGAACATATTTCTAGTGTTTTTCACAAAATTTCAAATTTCTAGTCTGCAAAGAAAACAAGTGCTTTTTTTTTTTTTTTGAAATCGGCATTTGAAAAGTCTACATCAGTGAACATTCTTTAGAATATGGACTTTAAATCCTGGACTTATTAAATATAGGAACATTAATAAAATGAGAACAATTATGTTTATTAGCGTTTTTCCCCATTTATCATTAAGTAATAACATACAAAATAAAACAATTTCCGGTTTCTTATCTAAGTGCAGAGTGTCCCAACCTATTTCTGAAATTCGGTTCGGAGGAAGGAAAGAATGTCCTGACATGGCATTTTTTTTTATTTTCAGTGTTTAAACGTGTAACGCTTGTGCGCAGTGGCAGCGTTTTAGCTTCTGGAGTTTATGCCCAATATGATTTTTGCTTTTCTGAAAGCAGTAACATAAACAACTCTGCTCACGTCGTATATGTATTTATTGAGTACAATGCCAATCAGGCTTAGAGAAAAATCGAACAACACTGTTAGGTTTTCCTGATTCCCAGGAAGCTCACAATCTACCATCAGACTCTTAAAGGTGCTTGGCCTTTCGGGTCTGAGGCACCGCAGGAAGGCTGCTCCAGTAGGCCTGGGTACGCAAAGTTGCTTCCTGGCCGGAACGCCAACTTGGCAAATATCTGTTCCTGGCAAACACAGATTAGTAAGGATAAAGTCTTCACAGACTCAACCAAGCAAAGCATAAATGGCCCTTTCAGCTCGAGCCTGCAAGGAGGGATGTTACTGAGCCCAGAACCCAAATTACTTTTTCCGGGCTCCCCAAACTCCAGTGTTTGTTTTAACGCTTTCGGATTCACGAGGCAGGTGTCTAACTCTCCTCCCTCGATTTCTTTCCCTTATCCCCTCTACCTCCTTGCCCAAGTTCAACTTTTTAATGGGTGCAGAAGCGCAGTGAGCTAGGAGGATAGGAAGGTGAGAGAAGTGGCGCTATCACCACGTAGATTCGTGCTGAGCTAGCGTGATGGGGGGAAGAAAAAGGCGGGCACCGAGAGCAGAGGGGTGGTGGCAGAAAGGGCACAAGGCACGCCTTGCAGGGGGAACAGGAGGCGGGGCCACGTGCCAGTCCCAGGGTTCCCAGCTCGAGCGCGAGCGGAGGGTTCCCGAGCGTTCCAGCTTGCCAGCCGACCGCCACTCCGCAGGCGAGCATCCCTATCCCAGGACCTGCCCCTCGCCCAGCCCGCCAGCGCGTGGCAAGAAGGCGCGTCCGCATCCATGCCCCAGCCCGGGGAGCACAAGGCGTTCGCAGACCCAGGCGTGTGACGAGAGGCTGAGCGCGTGGCACCCGCGTCGTGCCCCGCTGAGCCAGACGCGGGAGGAGAGGGGCGCGCTCCAGCTCTTCCAGCAGTGCGCTGGGCGGGGCGCGGCTGGGTGGGTTGGGGGGGGGGGCGGCCACCCGCGGGGAGCAGCGGAGGAGCAGGCGCGCTGCGGCCCCGAGGGAGGGCACCGTTAAAGCTTTGCCATCAATTGTGAGCCCAGTGAGTCCGTCCTAAGCTAACACACTAACGCTACAGCCTCCCTCACACCCCCAAACCACCGAAGGCGGCGACACCTGATCTAGCGCACAAACACGGGTCCCTTCTGTCCCCGGATACAATTACGCGGCAGACACACTCAAACTCACGCGCAGCAGCCAAGAGCCGAGGTAAGTAGAGTGAGCACGCCGTTCCAGACGGCGGAAGGGGGGCGGGCTAGGAGGAGGAGATGGGCGTCGTTTGCTCCCAGAGGTGAGTGCTGAGCGAATGGCTACGGTCCAGGGGGGGGGGGGGGGGGGGGGGGGGGGAGTGGATAGTGCAGATGGGGTTGGGCTGAACAAGATAGGGAATGGGGGAGTAGGGTTGGGGGGTAGGGAGAAAGGTCAAGGTTGTGGGGCTGTGAAAGAGATTGTTCCCAGCTACCCTCGAAAGCTCCCCTAGTCTTTTCCTCTCCCATATGGCACCGGTTTGAGGGTCTTTTCGAATTCGTGTGTGAACTCGGAGAGAGGAGGAAATAACTCGGCGCGGATCTGTTCGAGGACCTTGCACTTGACCCTGGAGGGATGGGCATCGGGGAGTCCCAAGGCCCGAGTCGCTGAGGGCAGCGATGGGGTCCAGGAGGTTTCGGACCTCTCCCAACAGTCTTCTACTTTGTCCTCTCCCTAAAGGGGAACTGGATGTGTTGGGGGTGGGGAGTGTCTCGGAGCTGCGCGCGCGCGGACACAAGCTCACACGCTCACTCACACTCTCTTTGGACCTTTGAGCTTCTGCGGGATCCCGCGCGACCCCCTAGGAAAGTACAGTGGTGGCAGGGTCCCGCGCGGTTGGGGAAACCGTGCGGCGTGCCCTCGCAGTAGAGAAGCCTGTGCAGGCTGCTAAGGTTAGAGAGGAGTTGAGAGGAGGACGCGCTGCAGGAAGTAGGGCGCCTTCCTCGGGCTGGAGGAGCGGCGAGGGGGCCTGGGATGCGTGATTTGGGTTTGTACGAGGCAAACCGCATCGGCAGGCGCAAATATGTGCAGTGCGACGGGGCAAAAGGACAGGCAGAGGTGGCGAAGGACGTACCCAATCTGTATGTGTAAATTTACTGCTTTAATTTTAGGTGTATAAAGTTGTGTACGGTGAATGTACTACTCTGCAGCACTTCCTTGGGGAGAGAACCGCGTCTGTACATGTACCGCTGGTTCCCATCACCTTAAAGCATACCAGGGCACGGGGGAGGGAGATGGGGGAGAACGGGATGTCCCGAAGACTGACTCTTCCGAAGTCTAGGTCTTGTTAAGTAGCCTTTCTTAAGGAGAGGGAGAATCAGAAGAGGACGGTGGTGGGCGGCGTTCTCAGCCAGGAGTGACCTCGTGTCACCTCTGTATGAGTCAGTGTTAGTAATAGGGACAGCCTTTTATTTCAGGTGGGTTCCACCTAGAAAAGATCAAACAACAAACAAACAAACAACACTACACCAAAAAGCCTCAGCCCCCTCAGGCTGTCACCTTGTATGATGAATTTTTGCGTGAAGGTGTGGCTGTTTGGCTATATGCCAAACTTTACTTTTTCTGGTAATTTCATGTTCCAAAAAAGGTCTCCACTCAGAATTGCTGTGCTTTATATCTTTGGTGGAGGGGAGGGGGGGGAATGGCTGCCATTAGTAGGAAGGATAGAAAGTCCTTTTAAACTGGTTTTCTAATTATATTAGGATTAATCACACTTTGTTCTCTGGAGATTTTTAAATTAATTGAAGAGTCATGCACCTCAATGTTACATGATAAAGGAATCCAGAACTTTGTTCACTGAGTAAAATCATAAGTCAGCATTTTTTTTTTCCAGTCCCAAAGTGGATTTAGTTTTCTCCTATCTCCTGATGGATAGTTTAAGGTTTTGCTTTAGGAATGGAATTCTGTTCAGCAACTATTCTAGATAATTCCAGTGAGAAATAAATACTCTAGTATTGTTTGATTTGCCTGCCACCCGCAAAATAAAATTGACATCTAGCGTTGTGTGATTTATTGCTATAGGATTGTTTAAAAACTACAGTGCAGTGTATTGCCTTGACATTTGGTAAAAGCTTAATAGTGTATAAGTACCTGGGCATAACTTAGTAGAAACAATACTTCTGACTTGATCTGGCTAATACTACTGAAGACATTTAAACTCTTCTTAAATCTACACTTCCCAGAGCTTTATGCTTGTTATGTTAATACTTGGTGCATTTATTAGGATAAGTAAACCAGTGGAGTAAAGAAAGATATTTACAACAAAATTTATTTTTTGTAAAATCTATTGTTTGTGTAAAGAGTTTGACAGTTAACATTTAATTTGAATTACTGAAAACATTTCAAGGTACCTTATCAGCTTAATTACCACTTAAATAGTGATAACAAAGGAAGAAAACAACCATATTCCCAATTCTCAAACTCCTTTTCAAAGTTATTTATTTATCAAATAATATTGATTTGATGTTGCTTAATTCACACTAGATTTTCAGAATATACCAGGAGAATAAGAACTTTTTATTGCTTTTGTAATATATAATAATACTTAATTTATTGATATTGTTACCATCTGGGATGTTGCTTATTTAGATAAGTGCATTTTCTCCATAGCTGACCTCTCACGTGATTAATTACTGAAACTTAAAAATTAAACTATTAAAACAAAAAAATAATTTCTAAATCTTACACTCTTAGTTGCTTCCTTGGATTTAAGTTAATTTTTCTGTTGGGTTGTCTTTATGAGCATGAATTCATAAAGAATTGAATAGTGCTATTCGTTGAGGTGTATAGAGCTCTTTTTGTTTATAGTAAATGGTCTTAGTCTGCCCAGTTGAAAAACTAGATTGAAGACAGAAGTACTATTCTTCCTTTTATGGTTTTTCTGGGTCCTCTTTTTGTTATCAGCTATCAACTTTCTACTGTCAGGCTGTGAGCGAGTCTTGCTGCTATATTATCTGTTGTCTTTTTTTCTGTGAAATGATGTGGGCTATTGCCTGAGTATAAAGCCTGCGGACTTTGTGACAGATACTTGCTGTTCTCATGCTTTATTTCTGGGCTCAATCACAAGCTATATGGTGCGGTTCCTAAAAGGATGACTTCTACATAAATGGTTTTAATGTTGTTTTATAGAATATTTTGTGTGTGAGATCTTAAGAAGAAGAGTGACTTAGTTTCAGACAGTTCATCTTGTGAAAAATCTTCGCTTTTCTGAGAAATTGAAGTAGCCCTTAAAAAAGTCGGTTGAATATCTGACTCTTGGATTTGGCTCAGGTCATGATATCACGGTTTGTGGGATTGAGCCCCGCCTCAGGTTGTACACTGGCAATGCAGATCCTACTTGGGATTTTCTCTCTCTGCCCTTCCCTCTTTCTCTGTCAAAATAAATAAATAAACTTTAAAAAAAAGTTTACTGTACGCTAGGCCCAGAGTGTCTTTGTTTGAGAATATGAATACAGTGATAGTTTCCATACCACTTCCTGCCACTGAAACCAGCTAGCCATATATAATATCGTTAATATTTTCCTATTCTGGAAGCCACGAGTAAGAAGTGTGGTTTGATAATCTTGTTAACCATACTTGAAGGTAGGTCAATCATTTCAATGTTATTTTGCATACCTACCTATGGAGGAACTAATCAAATTAGTTTGAATAGATTAGTTTAATTTAGTCTTGAAAACAGTAGCAATCAATATCTTCCCAATATAAAGCATTTCACAAACATTCATTCTTCTGTTCAACAAATATTTATTAAAACCACACTGTGCTCTTGTGCTCTGGGGATATACAAACACATAAGAGCCTGGAAGGGCTCTGGGTGTAAGAGGGTTAGTTAGATAGAAAACAAACTAGTTTCAGTACGTGCAAAATAGTGCCATAAGGTCTATGAGTGCTGTGATGAGGATATGCAGAGTGCCCTGAACAGGTACTGGAAGTGATCGGAAGACTAGAGAGGCTTCATAGAGAAGGTGACATAAAAGGCAGGGGAAAGGTCGTGAGGGGCTGTTTGCCATCATAAGGAATATGAACCATTTTCTGTTCAAGTCTGTTTCAAACAAAGGAGTGATTTGATGAAAAGACAGCTCTCACAGCCATCTAGAAGGGTGGATCTGAGGAATATGAGATAAGAACAGCAGTTTAGAAGGTACTGGAGTGATCTTGTTGAGGACCTTATACCATAGTGGTAGCAGTGAGATGAAGAAAAGTGATCACATAGATGTTAAGGTAGGAGAATCTAGGATTAGGTGAGCGATTAGGTGAGCGATTACATGATGGGTGACATAGGAGGATGGAATAGGGACTTTAAAAGGTTGGAGGAGCAAAGATGATAGAGTTCAGTTTTGGACATGAAGAATATGAACTACCTATAGAAAATCTAGTTCTGGGCAGAGAGGTCTTGGCTGGATAGATCAGGTAGATAAATGGATAGATGGAAGGATGGATGGATAGGTAGGTAGATAAATGGATGGATGAATGCACTGATTTAACAGTTTTCAGTATATGGGTGGTTGTACGGGAAAAAAAAAAAAAGGAGTCGATAGGTCTTCCAGGGCAGGTACAAAGACTAAGACGGAGATAGAGACCTAGGGAGATCTTAAAGTTTAACAGTTGGGTGAGAATCAGGGAGCCAGAAAAAATGAGAGGTACAGAGTGGAAGGCAGGAGGACAATTAGGGGAGAACAGCTTTTTAGGAGCTGAAGAAATAAGTTCAAGATGTAAGATCAGGTACTTAAATGGGGGTATCAGACAGTCCTGGTTCTGCCCCTGACTAACTCTGTGACCTTAAACTTAGAATTTAGTTCTCACCTACAAAAAGAGAACCAAAGTGCCTACACCATATGTCTACTGTGAGGATCAAATGAGATGAAGTCTAGCAAGCTCCGTGCCTAGAAGCTTACTGGTTTGTGTTCAATAAATGGCTAGCTGTTTTTATGAAAAGCTGAACTTGGATTTGGTGATAGTTTGTAGGGACTATTGCTTTCAGCAGTACTTGCTCTCAGGGTTTCAGGAGGGTGATTGAAGGTATATTTCGGATGAAAACTTGATCAGATTTACAGCCTTTGGGGAGGAAGCCAGTAGAATAGGGGTAATTGGAAATTTTGAAGGGAGCAGAAAGAGCAGTTTGAAAGCATTGCCTAAGGAGAGGGTGGGAATTGCATCAAGAGCTCTGGGAAAGCCCCTGGGAT